GTGCTCCACTCTTGGGTTTTCCGTGTGAGAACCGGACCTTCTGGACCTTGACATCAGCGGCTCTTTAGCCGCGATGATCTTCCGGGCGGTGCGCGTCTTTCGCCAGGTGGCGAGCATTTGGCCCCGCGGCGAGCGGAGCTCCCCGCGGTCGCCCTCCAGGGACCGAAGCCGCGGCTCGTCGCGGCTCGCGGCTCGTGGCTCGCGGCTCGCGGCTCGTGTTGGGCGGTTTGGGGCGCCTTGGGTTTCACTCCAAAAGGGCTTTTTGCCGGAAAGCTTAGGGGTCGATAGGCCCAAATACGCTCGGGGGTTCGAAGCTGCTTTCAAGCAGGGTTCTGGAAGGGTTTCAGAAGGCTCCCGGAGATACCACTAATTAGTCAGCGGATGCTGTCCTGTGCATTCTTAGCGCTGCATGCAGATGAATTTGATTTGTCGAGTGTTCGGAAAGACAAGAAGGATATGGGAGCACCGTACCAGGTAACCGGAGACGATGCAGTGGATCCAGAGCATAACGGATGACACAGGGTGACTTTCTTCTTGATGTATGTGGAGACGACAAAATCGTGGTACGAAGTCTTCGCAAAAGACAAGCCAATGGATGGGGAGTTCTGCGAAGAGGCTGCGAAGAAGCTATCTTCACAGCGTTCGGTCAAGGCCCGAGGCGTCCACCACTTCGCCCCTTCATTTGGTATGGAAGTTGGGGACCCTTGGACATCATTTAGGTTGGGATCAACCAGCTTGAGTCGGAGATTATAGCCAGTGCCAATCTTTTGGCGAATTCACAGACGCATCGGAAAGATGGGAGGTAGGGAACCGAGCCCAGGGCTTGGGAATGAACCGGTTTTGGGGATTCCCTAGGAAACAAGAGGGGATGGTTTATAGGGGTTCCATCATTTTTTGCGAGCCGATTAGAAGCTTCCAATCTGAGGGCTTTTTTGGTGGATAGGGCCAAGAGGTTAGCGTCATGGACGCCCCCGAATGTTGCGGTTTGCTATATGAATTTCAATCGGAACTGTTCAACAGATTTGGTGGCCAAAGCAATTTTCATAGAAAGTTTTTCGTTCATTTCGGGACCCTTCAACTTCAGACCATGAGGTTTTCTCAAAGAAGCGTGGACTCCTTCATTCCTTTTGGTGCTTGTGCTTTTTGGTACCTGCTTCTTGGAGAGAAACCAACCGAAGACACTGTCGGGGCCGATTTTGACCTTCGCCCGTGCCGATAGGACTCCTTCCAGTCGACGGTCCAGGGGCCTAAGCCGGACTTGGGAGGGTGTGGCAAGATTCGCGTTGTGCAGAAGTCTTGGCCCCACAAAATCAAAATATGTTATTCACTAAGGGCTCCATTGAATCAGATAGGATTTCTCCTTGGTTCTCCGGGCAAGCAACCGTTTGGAGCAATTTCGCCAGGCTTTGAGGGTACCGGACCCGCCCACTTGCCTTTTTGTTGTTCCCCCAAAAATGTTTTTGAGCTGAGGCCTGGTTCCGGGCACTAGTGTTTTCCCTTTTGAGCTCGCTCCAAGCCAAAAGGCCCATAGCCTTCCATTTGCCTTAGGAATATTGTTTGTTTTCCCTTGTTGGTTTTAAAAGGAAGCAGCTATCACTACTGCATTTTTTCCAGTGGGCTTAAGTGAGCGGAAGTAGCCGGTCTAGCCTCTATGACCAAGTGTGGTGGCGCTTCTTGGCCCCGAGCAGAGCTATGCTGCAGTAGCCTTGGAGATCAAAGGCTGAGGAAGCGCTGACAAAGGAAATCGGACGAATCTTTTGAGCCAGCGTTATTATTATTATTGTCATTATTATTATTGTTATCTTTTTTGTTGTTGTTGTCCGGGATTGGTCAGAGCTTTGCATGTTTTCTCTGCCCCATGCGTTGGTGCTTGTTTCCCGTGACTTGGTTGCACTTTGGTTATTTGTTTCACCTTTTGAGAATGATAATGTCTTTACTACCTCACTTGCCCAGTTTTTGAACTTGATACTTTCTGGGAAGACCATTTCAGTGTGCAAGCAAACAGTCCAGACTTGTTTTGCCAATCCACTCAGGAACCTAGCCAAGTTCTACCCGAAACCATCTTTGGGGAATTTCACGAGTGGCCGCGCCTATCCCTTACTAAGCCTCAGCTACCCTCCCCTGGGTCATGTGAGACTGGATCCTCATTTAAAAGAACATGAGGCCTGACCCAACCACTTTGTGGAAGAGCCTTTTTGTGGCGGACCAGAAGTTTTGTCATTTTTTGCTTGGCCAAACCACAGCGCTCGCTTGGAAGTGAGGAAGGTTCCGGAAGAAATCCATGCTCTCCTGCCGGCATGGCCAAATCTCCCGTCCCGTCCTGAGGTGCTTGTCACCAAGGACGGCGAGCCGCCGCCGCAGGAGATCGAGCTTCGGGGTGGCGCTTTTTGTTCACCCGTCTTGGGGAGCTATCTTTTCTCTAGGTTTTGCGGGTATCTATTCTTAGGATACTTTTGCTCTACCAGTAGGGTGCGCGTTTTTTTTTGTTTTCTCTCTTTTTTTTGAGGGTTCGCTGGTTCAAGGGAGGGGGCGTTTTGCTTTGAGACACACCCCTTTGTGTGCCATGGTCAAAGCACCCTTTTGGCAGAGACGGTCGTAGAGCCCACATTCCACCTATGGTGATGGGAGTCATTTGGGTATCAGGGCCCGGTCTCCGCAACCACGTGAGAGGTCCCATCCAAATGTCCAGTCAAGGGACTCGCCAAATCTTCGAGCAAGAGCCCAGCGCCTTGCTGAATGCCCCATCTCCATTCGGACCAATTGACCGTGGCTCAGGGGGCTGAGCAGGGCCAGTCGAAGAGCCTAGGTCCTCTTTGCTCAGCTTCCTTGGTGGAGTGGTTGCTGCTTTGAGGTCGGGGGCTTATGGTTCTTATAGAGGGTAACTGGGACTTCAGCCGCCAAACCCAACCTCGTTTGGAACTTTCATAGCGGTCAAGTCCACGCACCGCGCATGTTCAAGCATGGTAAGCAGGCCATGGGCTTGACGTCAACCCAAGAAACCGATCCAGATGAGAAACACCTCGCGCCCCGCTTGCTTTTTCTTTCTTTTTTCAAGACTCCTCTCGGCGCCAAAGCGTGGCTTGTCCGATCAAAGCGAGGAGGGGCTGAAGGATCTCATTGAGGAGACGGCGGCGGGGACCCCAGCGATTCTCAATTTGAGGTTGTTTGGGCTGGGGAAGGGTTGGTTCATGGCTTGTTTAAGGTGTTTGGGAGCGTTGGGGACTTCAAATTTGTAGCGACCTTTGTTCTCTCTCTTCCCGCCCCGCAAATGATGTTCATCTGAAGCACTTCTTTGGCGTGCAAAGGATGCCCTCGAACTGGTTGGTCTCCTCTGGGTTTCAATCAAGTGCCGCCCGTAGGGGGGCAGAACCAGACACAATTCATGGTAACGCGGGATTCATAACCTGTTTGATTGATCGGAGGGTGCCCCATTTAAGATCTTCAGTGTTTTGTTGGGACATGGCTATGAATCCACCTGGTTTGTGTGAGATCGGGGAAGCGCACCTGCACCTAAGCCACAAGTAGAGGGCATGGGGCCATCAAAACTTGCGGAGATTCGTCCTGATTCCTTGCCTGGGGTTTGGGTAGACCTTTTGACCAGGCTTGAATTGTGACCACCCCCCAGAAAAGCGCCCCTTTCAATGGAAAACCACACAAACTAGGCCCCCACAAGTGCCCTTTTACCCCTTTTCGGGGGAGGGTCCCCCTACAGAAAAAAAACTTGGTACCCTGATTCTACCCTCTCAAATCTGGAGGACCTAGCAAAGGTCGTTAAGACAAAAAAAATCCGGGACGGCAACCAGGTCTTGCAAGAAAGCGCCCTTCGGCGGATTTCCGAGGAGGATCGGGAAGCGGCCGGATCCCCACAGGCGCAGGCACGGGCGGCACGGCTGGCGCTTGCATGTTGCGCGTCGACGTGTTTTTGTTTCTTCTTCCTTTTCGGGTTTTCTCAAAAACAACGTCGGCCCAAAAGCGTTGGGCCAACAACAGTCGCCCACAGCCCCAAGAAGAAGAAGAAGAAGAAGAAGAAGAAGAAGAAGAAGAAGAAGAAGAAGAAGAAGAAGCAGAACTGTTTGTTTACCGCTAAAATGATCCAATCCTCACAAGTGGAAGTCCAGGAACTCAGGGAGTGAGCCTAAGAGTCACTGAGTCACTATTCGTCAGTCCTTTTAGCGATCTCTCTCCCTGCCACGGCTCTGAATCAGGAGCAGGACTCGGACAACTACCAACCTTGACATACCCGAGTTTTCTTTCTGTCAAACATGCCTGTGAATGGTTGCTCACCATCCGATCATTTGGTTTGAGTGGTTGCCAAGGTCTACCAGAAAACTGATCTTGCCGCCATCTGGCTATGGGTCAAAACGCCGTACCCCCAGTGAACATCCCAATCCCCACTAAAATAGACTGAAACGGGTGGTGCACCTACCCGAAAATGGTACCATTGGTGTTGACCCTCTGCCATCTGAGCGCTCCAAACCATTCTCCGGCTTCAAACATTGCCACAAAAGGGAGGAGTTCCTCTCCCCGCACCGCAACCCCGAATCACCACCTATTCAGGCCCTGACGTTTTTCTTGATTTTACGTGTATGTAAGTAGCCCGAGAGGGGGGGGCCAGGAACCAATATGTACTTCAGGACCTACCCTCTCCAAAGCAGGGACACAGCAAAACGCGCTGTGAAGGACCATCCAAAGATGGAAGACAGTATCACCCGGCCTGCCTGAACTTCCCAAAGCGAGACCTTGCTTGTGGAGGCTCCTTTGTCGGCATGGGGGTTGACTTGGCTGGGCAGAGCGGCCATCATCCAACACCACCCTGCCAGCTTGCGGGGCACCGGTTTGCCAAGCCTCAATAGCAAGCGGCTTTACGGCACGATCAATCATTGAAGTGACCGCGGCAGCGAGCGATCCACCGTCCACAACTCGCAAGGCAATGTGCACTGAGTTCTCATGATCCCAATGGAGCACTTGGACCGTAGCCCTTCTTGTGGTCAGTGGCATTGACCACACCAGCATGCATCATCAGCAAGTTGGACGCCGCATTACTGGAGGGCATAACCGGGAGACCGCTATACCCATTGCGCAGCTTGCCCGCATTCGTGCTGTAATCCACATACCGCCACTTCACACCACCGTCTTCCATGCGCCTTGGTCACAGTCAACGTCGCTGGCTCAGCACCAACTATGATCAATCCTTGATCAAACTTTAGGTTCTCGAAGTGGAACGGCAACAGTCTTCTGATCTGGTTCTTGGCCCGGAGTCTTAGGGTACTCATGCATCATGACCGGCGCGTCAGTCTGGGCCGCACCAGCTGTAACGCTGGACCTCTTCGGGGGCACCTTGATCACCTCCGCTTCATAATCGCGGCCCCCCATGATGATCTGAAATTTACTTCCCACATTAAAATTGGTGTACTTTGCCAGAACATGCTGAAGCGTGACAGAAAGCGCCTTGTGCGTGGCATGGCCCGCGATAATCTCCTGTCTCCAACAAGGCCAATGGTCTTGGATTTCTCAAGTGCGGCGCGCGCACAAGCCTTCTCAGTCTCGTTTGTGATACCAAAGTTGTGGAACAAGTACGTACTCACAGCGCTCTGGCTATGGCGGGTAGCTTTCTCGTCCTCTGCCCATGGAACTACATCAAGGCCTATGTGGCTGGGAGAGAGATCGGATTCAGCCTAAAAGGGCTGACGAATAGTGACCTGAGTTCCTGGACTTCAGGTTTTATTGCCTGCATCGCCAGTTGCTGCTTGTTTCCATGAACTTTACCCCAAAAACCTGCAACAGTGACTGAACAAAGCAGCAACTTTGGCGATCTAGGTGCACCACAGCGGTAAACAAACAGTGCAGCTTCTTCTTTTTGCTCGGCCGACCGAGCAGAACCTTCCCCTGGCTTGCCCTTGGCTCATCAGTGGACAGAGCACAAGTGCGGGCACCCTTTGAATTCCTTGCGGACTCCCTTGCAACTTCCTTCGTTTTAGAAGATGTTATATATATATATATACATATAGGTATTTAAGTTCTTTCCCCTGTCGATTTCAAGGAAATGGAATCGATTTCAATACTTCAGATATTTCTTTTTCATTTTTGAAGGGGACGTATCCGCAAATGGACAAGGTTCTTGTGGCACATGTGAGCCTGCAACAGATATTCTTCGCTCACCCTGGGGTAAGAGGTCACACATCAAGGCGTTCAGATCCGGGATTGCCTTTTTTTTTCAGGTAGGTTAAAGGCAGAACCTGAAGGAAAACAGCCATTTTTTTTGGTCTGGTGTTTTTTTTGGGGGGGGGTCCCCTAAAAAAAGGACCACCCTATCGTCTCCAAAAGGGGACCCGGGTTTGGTTGCTTCAACCAACCAGCACTGACCGGCCGGTCGCGTGGCTTTCCACGGCCCAGGCGAAGCGCAGCAGCTTTCTGCAGGCAGCGGAGCTGGCGCAGAGTTTGAAGAGGCGCGCTTGGCGTCGCTTCCCTCCTGGGTATGGGTCAAAACGAAAGCAGCAGCAAAACGGACCGGAGTTTTACTCCTTCCCTTTACTAGGGCAAGCCATTTTGAGTAGCCTTCTTTTTTTTGACCCACTGCCACCTGAGTAGCGGCTCTCACCTTTTGCTTGCTGCTGCGACAAGCAGGGAATTGAGTTGGAATGAGCCGGAAGAGGATTCCCTGAAAGGAAACCATAAGGGATGGTTCATAGATTTTCATTCCCTCATTCCCTGCTGAGCACCAGCAAGTTTTGCTTCCCAATCAGAAGTGAGGAAAGCCTCTGTCCTGGTTTCCACTGCGTTTCCGAATTCACAGTGACCCCAAAGGGGCATATCCCTCCACCTGAGAAACCCTGCAGGTTGCCCTGGCGTTGAAGCCATGGCCATTCTGCACGCGGTTGCATGACTGACATATTCGCATGGCGGGGCATCGAGGAAAGTGGAACCAGAGGTACTTTCCGGTGCCCTTCGGCTCCCCTTTTCTGTGGCTGTGATGAACATCTGGTTGCCCTGGCCTCATTATTTTACCACCATGAAAAAGTCACCCACCTGATGGGTTAAAGGGAAACAACCTCATCTTCTGACTTTGATAGCCCCTAGAAACGGTCAAAACAATGACCCCCAGTTGCCACCGACGTGCCAGTGGCGTAGCTCAGTTCCGGGAATTTTGTTCGTTGGGAGTTCCCTGAGAGTGGCATCGCCAGTCTGGTGGGCAAAACCTAAAATCTAACATGTCGTTGTTTCGTGGCTCCCAGCCATCCCCCTAGCTTTTTGGCTTTTTAGTGTTTAGTGGTAGTTTCCGAATGTAACCCCCTAAAGGTTGGTCACTTTTAGCGGGGGATCTGAGGGCAGCCCAGGTTAGTTTTGTTGTTGGGCAATAGACACTGCTCAATGAGAAGCATCCTTACATGGGAAGCTAGAGGCCTCAACCACAAATTGGTTCGATCTCATTTTCCTCAGACACCCGGGTTGCTTCCTTTCCTTTGGAAGTCGACAAAAGACTGGCGGGTGCCAAAATGGAAGGCTCACGTCTTTTTACACATGTTCGGCTTTTCGGGTTCGCTCGATATTCCACGGCCAGCAAAGCACAGCCCCGGCTTCCTTTTTCTTCCCTTTCCTCCCACGGAAATCGGTTTGTCGCAGGCTCTCCTCCGACCTGTCTGCGGGGGTGCGGACCCCGGATCGGGGCCGCGGAGTTGGGGGGGATTTGACGGCCTCGCCCCGGACTTTTTCAGGGGTTCGAACACGGGATGAAGTTGCCAAGCAGACCATCCAGGGAGTCGTTTGCGAGCTTCTCGTTGGGAAATCGGGACCCTGGCGTCAATCGCAGGTGGGACATTTTTTTGGGATGCTCCCTCACTGGCCTTCCAAATCGTGATCCGGATCCGACTCCCAGGGATCCTTCAGTTCAAATGGACCTGGGAAAATGGGGGGGGTTCTGAAGATAATGGTTGGAAGCCTTTTTTGGTTTCTGGTGCTTTGGATTTCGGAGGTCAGGACTTGTCCCATTTTACTCACAAGCACCAGAGGTGCAACACCGCCCACCCCCCCAAATTGTTTCGGCGGGGTTGGGGTTTATGGGGCTTTCAGGTTTGATGTGCAGAGAGAATCTCGGAGGTTGGAGGTTGCACCGAGGTTTTTTCGGGGAACCACTTCGGTTTTCGGATGGGTTGGTTCTGAACGTCTTGGGCAAGAACGGTTTGATGTCTGGGTCTATTTGTGGCTCTTGATCCACCAAACAGTCTATGGCCCAATGTTTGGGTTCAAAGTTACTGGTTTTGACTGAAGCTTCTCCTTGCGTAAGCAAGGGCTGACATGCCGAAAGATCGATATTTTCTCCTCGGAGCCCGCCGAAAACGACTGAGGTGGTGTCCATGGCGGATGCTCTGCGAGCAGCCCCCGCGCCCGAGGCGAATCGGATGGACCCTTTGGCCGACGGACATTTTTTGAGACGCCCCAAAAGGTGTAGCTGGAATTTTTGCTTCGGTTTCATCTGACCTTGTGGTTTTCTGCAGTTGCGGTCCATATGTGAAGGTGCCAACAGGTGATCTTAGTTTCATGTCCAGGTCCTTTTGAGCAAGTGAGACGGCTCCTCCACTGGGGATGCTTTGGTTTGAGTTGGTGAAGATATGAGGTTTAAGGTCAAACCAATGCGGCAGCCTATGCTTCAGTTGGCATGGCACCCCAACACCCTTCAACCTGCACAAGGTGATCCACCTTTTGCTCGTTCGGGGGGCTTGGACATTTGGGACAGTCAAGCAACAACCAAAATAGCTGATCTGGAGGAAGTTGATTTTGGTTGTATCCTTTAAGTAGCCCTGTTCAATATCGGGGCGCCCCTGAGTTGTATCCATGTCTTGTCTTTGTCGCTTGTCCTACTTGAAATTAGCATTTGGTACCATCTGGGATTTTTGTCCTCCCTAAAATGATGACCCTAAGGCAGAACCCCCCATGAAAAGAAAGCCCGGGTCAACAACGGTATATCAAGTCAACCATTGCTTTAATGGTTTGAATCCCATGCGGCATATTTCAAAGCGGCTGGACATTGTTCTGCGAAGCTTTGATGTGCACCGGTTTGGGTCCCCAATTCAGTTTTGGATCCAGGAGCGGGACCCGCACAGTTCTTCCTAACGCGAGGTAAGCAAACCAGCCTAGGAGAACCCAACACACCTCTAATTCTTCCTATGGGGGCGGGACCCCCTTTTCGATTCAAAAATCATTTTTGGACAAATCACAACCTACCAGGTTGATGAATCCGTCGACATTACCCAACACGCTGTTTGGGTTCCTGAATTTGGGGTGTGCGAGTTTTGTCTGTGATTTCGGGCGTTTCCAGGGGTCCCGATTTACGGAAACCCGCTTGAAGCTTTGTTTCAGGTCGGCTACCTTCCCACCCAGCACGGAACCTGACGAAGAAAGTGAAAGACATTTCTCCTCTAGAATGGCTCCATTTCTTTGGAGGGCAAGTCAGCCACTAAGCCTTACACTTCAACCCCCCCCCCGGCCACAAGTGTTTGGTTTCCACAAACATCGCCTCAAGTGGGCCGACTCAGAACATCCTTTGTTTTTTGTCCCCTTCTTCGTGGGCCAAGATCGCCATCTTCCCATGCGCGAGTTGGATCTGGCTCACTTAGAACAAAACGCCTCCAAAAGGGTACCTAGACTTTTTGAGCCTCGACCATTCCAGCGGCAACCGCACAGTTTGGCTGTTTTTTTTTGGCCACGCCATTCGATCGCATGCGAGAAATGCCACGTTTGTGTGAGGTTTTCTTGAGGCTCGACCGCCCTTTCTCAGGTTATATATAAAGGCAAGCCCAAAACAGAACATGCCTTTTCCATTGTTGGTGGGAAAAGTCAGCAGCCCTGGTAGTGTAGAAACCCTTTTCACGGGAGGCTCTTCATTTCAGTCCAAAAGGCAAGCCCAAAGGAGAACAGTTTCCGGCGGAGGCGAGTTGGACGGGTGCGCGGGACCACGACACGGAGGCGCTGGGGATTCGGGATCGGCGACAGCCAACGAGCGCCCGATGTTCTTTTGGGGGAACAGATCAGATTGCGCATGGGTCATATTTGTTCAAGCCTGTATATTTGTTATCCTCATGGACCGCAATAAACTTGGGTCTGCCATGTTCAAGAATGGTGTCCCTGTATTAAGAGATGGCAAGATCGCCTTTTGGAAAGGCCTTCCAAAGAACTTCCTCTTTGCAGCGATGTTCTTTTTTGGACACGAGGAACCCTCGACGGGTGGTTACAACCAAAGCCCCCCCCAACAACCGCTTTTTCCCACGTCCAAACCCTAAGCACTGTCCAAAAAGCAGTGGTTGGGGGGGTTCTGGATCTGTTGATATTTCTTTTGATGTTCACTCTTGGGTTATTTCACCATCCACCCTTTAGCGCCGAGGCCCGCCCCAAAAGCATCCCATTTCTTGTAAGCTGGTTCTGACCATGTTTATAGATGAACCTGCCCTTGTCCCCGGTTGCCAATGAAGACCCAAGCCTCCGAAGCCGTTCTAGTTGATTGGGGACCTGGTGGCATCATAGAAGTTGAACGGAGATTTGGGTGCTTGGCAAGCAGTGTGGGTCTTGTGGGCGGTCCGCTGCTGAGGGGAGCCAATCTTATAACCTGCGCAGAATCGAAATCCCGCACCTGAACATGGTCGAACCAGGGTTGGTTTCAAGATTGTTTGAACCAACTCGGATACCGTCCCCGTTTTCAGGGAAGCCAACAGGATCTTGTTCAAGCAAAAGTGGCAATGCCGACTTTGGATGAACACAAACTCGTCCTGTCGGAGTGTTTCCTCCAAAAGTCATCCGGACTCCCATGAAAAGGGGACACCCCCCGATCAAGTCAACCAGGGGTTCCGCTTGCTCATGGGGCAACCAGCCAGCTGGAACTGCTCAGGCGAGCGCGAGCTCGAGCGCTGATAGGCGAGCTGGACGTCGGGTGAGCGCAGGGTGTTCATAGGAGGTCTCCGAAGGCTTGCTCAACTTCCATTTTTCCGAAGATTTAGGTTCTTTTCCCTGTTGGCTTTACAGGGAATCTATTTGTCACTTTGGACAGCTTTTCGTTTTTGGTGTGTTTTTTCTCTCCAGGGACTTGAGCAAATGGAGGTCAACATTTGGAGGGACGCAGGTGGTGTTGACTGAAACTCTCAACAACTTTTCACAGAAGCTAGGGGAGCCCGATTGAGTTTCCTATGTCCTTTGTGGAAACAATGTACAAATGGCGAAGAAGCTGCGAAGAAGCCATTCGCATGTGACGGAAATGCTGGAAAGGTCAAACCAGCATGTAGGCGCCCGAAGCTCGGGGTAAAAAAGAGATTGGAGACAGCTCACTGAACCGTCCAGAGACGGTACCCCTTGAATTGTTCTTCCCGTTTGTGGATTATTGCAACCATCAACATGATCGCATGTCCAACGTAACAGTGGCTTGAGTTTAGGTCCTTTTGAAGCACCCCAACTGATTCCTTCGTGGGGGCGAAAGGTACTGTGGGTGGACGAAATCCTGCACCACCTAAGAAGTCCTAGATTGGTGATTCCCCTGTCAATACCAACAAACAATGGTTTCCAATGATTTCAAAGTGGTGCAGTATTTCGTCCATCCACGGTACCACGCCGACCAATCTGCTCTATTTCTCATATGGGCGCCATTTCGGGGAGCAATGCCCATAGGGCCAAGTCAGCACGTCCAGCACCCTCATTGGCTTTTGTTTTTTGCAGGTGGTTCTACCACCTGGTTTAACAAGGGCAACAGCAAGGCCTATTTCAACCGTTGCCGTCTTAGCAGAACCACATGTCAAGGGCTTTTGGTTTCTTTCTGAAGTCTCATCCAACACATTTCAGATTTTAGGGTGGCCAAGTAATGTTGACCCCTGATTCGTACACCCGTCCGATGTAGCGGGGGTCTACTTTGCTCCAGGTTTGCATTAGAAAGCCGAGCAGAGACTCCTACGTCCGCGGAGATGGTCGCTATTGCGTGGGGTGCTGGAGGACGACTGCAACGTTGTGGACTTGTAGTTCGCGCACATGCTTCCCTTCGTGCGGAGACACAGACACGTACACGCAGAGAGATAAACTTGTCTGTTGGGAAGCCATTCAAAAAGTGGGACCTCTAAACATATGCATACAATCTTTTTTTGATTTTGCTTTAAACGCCGTTAAGCCAACCACAAAGTTTCTTCAAATGACGCGCACCCTTTTTGGGGGGATTCCTTTTTTTGGTCCACTTGACACCACCCAACTGGCCCAACTGCCCACCCAATTGCCCACCTTTTCTCGAGCGAGAAGCTCCTGCCGCACCGGTAGGTCTCTGAACTTGGATGCGCTCATGAACGAGGCCATGAATTTGCGCTGGACGAATTTGCACTGCAAATTCAGATGACCACGTGCTCAAAACCGATTCGGGTAGATGGTTAGGTTAAGGGACAATCCCCTTGCCATAAGCTTAACGGGGATAGAGAAATGGTTTTTAGTGGCAACTCCGGTCAGCCCCGAGCTCTCCTTCCCCGGGGTCCCGCTTGCGAGCGCTTGGGAGTCACTTTGGATCCACCCAAAACCACCCAAAACGTGAAGGGTGGCTGTGAATCTTTTGTCCCATGTTTTGGTGGCAAAAAAAAACACCGTCTTGGGGTCGCCTAAAACAACACACCCCTATTGGTGGAGTGGTCATCTTGTTTCCTTTTCGGACCAGCTTTCAACCTGAACAAAAAGAGTCTTTGGAGCACCCCCTTTCTTCTTAAATTCCATTGAAGAGGCTTGACCCCCAGTTTTCTCCAATGGCTGAAATTCAATTGAGCAGCGCCCAAAAAACACGTGGGCCAGTTTAGAAGGTGGTTTTACGACGTTCTAGAAAGGCATATATAAACCTGAATGACGAACCCACAGTCAATGGGTGTTGCCTTTGTTTCCAATGCAGCGGGCCTTTGTTTTCGGGTGGATTTCGAGCAACTTAAGAGGGTGGGGGGGTCCTCCAATTCCATGTATAGCCATCCCCATAAAAGGGCAACGGAACCAGAAATGGAATTTCAAGGGTTTTTGAAGGGGGGTGGGGATCGGAGCACGGGATCCGAGCACGCTCTTAGCAGCGCGATTCTTTGCGAGCATCTGACGTGGCTCCTGTGATGCTTTTCCCAACCCTTTAGATTCATGCAAGCACAGTTTTGTTATTTTTTGTCTCAAAAAGTGGTGGACCTCCCAATCCACCCCCCTCTTCCTCCCAACCCCCCCCCCTAAAACAAATTTCCCTTCGGTTTCCTGTAAGCCAACATAACCAACGGGTGCCGACCCTCTCCAAACCGACCCACCCCGCACCTTGAGCCCTCTAGCCCTCGAGCCTCGACGAGCCAGGCGCACCTGCCGTTCCGGCAGCTGCTGCAGGAGGTGCCGGACCCCGAGGCATCGCGGGGCATCGCCGTGGTTGCGCCGTTTCTTGGCTGTGGGTCAAAAATAGGAACCCAAAATGAAACCCTGGTAAATGGAACCAAGGGCTAAAACCTGCGGTCCCCTGGTGGTTTCATTTTGACCCACACCCTCCTGGTTTCCTGCGGTTGTCGATCAATCCCCAAGAGGAGCCAATTTCCCAAATGGCGTGAAAAGCGAACAAACGGGTGTAATAGGGATTAATAGTTAATAGGGTTTATTTTGGGGACCATTTTGAGGATTGTGTTTTTTGACAGTCTCGGTGGGAAAACCCCTGCCCCAAGCATCAAACGGGTGTTTCCGGCTCTTGATGCTGGATTTGGCTCCTGAATCAGATCTCGGGAAGTTCGTGCCCCTTGGTCTTCCCTCTAGTTGGGGGTTTGGATTGGCGGTTTGGAAGCAAGGGCGTGGTTTCCCAAAACCCCTATACAACTTGATTGCAATTGGGTTGGATCTTTAGACTTTAACTTTTTGGGAAGTCAAGGGTTTTCCAGCGAACCCACAAAAAGTTATTTGTTGTGGCGGGGGGTTAACAGCAACCAGGCAACCAAGACGAGCCGTTCAAAATCCCCAAACCACCAATCCAAACCACCAGCTAAGGGATCTCTGCAAGTATGTATCTACATTTGGGTGTCAAAGTCACATTCGGACCCTCAAAACGGTGTGTTAGTTGTTGGTTCCCCGACACTCACCCTCAAAAGCCTAGCACAAAAAGCGGCGCTTTTGGTTCCCCGAAGACACCCCGAAGCTCCTCAAGCTGGGATCGGAGGGTTTCATCCGTAGGTGCGGCCGATCGGATGGATGTGCCGTGTCCAGGGTATGTCCTCCTGTCGCGAAGTTAGATGGCCTTTTTTGTATCTGTCGGTTTGGTCATCCCCTTTTCTTGCATTACAGGGGAGTTGTGCCAAAGACTGTGTCGGCGTGGATAGCCAGTTGCCGTTGTTCCCCAGCAACTGTGGCTGATGGGGAAGGTCATTTTTCGGACAGTTTTTTGGGGTAACATGTCTGGGAAAAAGACAACCAACCGCCCTCTCGGATTTTTTTGGATCCGCCAGAACACCCCTGGCGGCATCCTGGCATCCTTCCCGCGGCTGCGAAATTTGCAGACCCAGGCGGGCGGAATCGCTGGGAGGTGGGGCGGTCGATGCACTCTCTACCCGTAGTTGCGACCATACATACAATTGGAGCAACCGCGCTTAGTTGTCTTATATCCGTACCTGCAACATCTGCTTCCTAAATGGGATGAAGATCCCACGTCCCTCTCAACCTTGAGACCTCACTTCCCAAGTTCCTGAAAGTGAGCATTTCGCTTTTGGGAAGACCATGGTGAGCCTTTCTCTACCTCTCTCTACCTTGCTCCACCTCTCTTTCTTTCGCTTTCCTTCCTTCCGTCCTTTCTTTCTTTGTTTCCTTTCTTTGTTTCTTTCTTTCGTTCAGGGTTCCAACATGTTGCAACTCTCTTCCCATAGAGGGCGCTTTACTCTCGCGCGCGGTTTCCGGAAAGGCTCGGGGCTTCGGCTTCCGTTTCTGGGGGTCTTGGACGTTCAACGCACTCAGCAAACGAGGCTCACACATCCCCATGTTTTTTTTTTTTTTTTTTTTTTATTATTTTTTTTTTATTTTTTTTTTTAAAAGAAGAAGTCGGATTTCCCAACATGTAGCCCACTCACAAACCTATGACCTGTTGCCTGTTGCCTGCAACTGTTGCTCAGATTCTCAAGGCGAAGTTAGTTTTTCATTGAGGGTAGTTTGAGGGTTGAGGCGCCCTCCCGTTCACGTGGCCATGGAACCTGACTGAGGGGTCCTGGACGACAATGTTCCTTCAAAACGGCCCTCTGGTGAGTTCCATGTTAGTTTACGGGAGGGTAGGTAAACCTCTATGGTCACAAATGGGGGCAGTGCTTGGTCAAGATCGGCAAAGCACGGGGTTCTATTTCCTACTTAAGCTGAGGTTGAACATCAATCGTATCTGAGAAAAGGCCCCGGCGGAACAATGACACCCTCCCTCCCCCGCAAGCCATTGGCTTTGGCCCGTCAGTTGCCCAGTTCGGGTGCTGCAGGATTTCTTCCAGGAGGCCCTTTGTACTTGTTTCTCGCTTCCTGAGTTCCTGGACTTTGGTCAGTTTTGGAATATCAGAACACAGTAGCGGCAAACGAAATGTTCAGCCATTTTGTTTGCCCAACCCACTCAGGATTTTATTTTTTGTTGGGGGGGGTGGGGTGCGCGGAGTCCGAGGAAATTCCGGGAGACCCGCAAGGTTTTTTTTGGCTTGTGATCCCACGCCCGCCCAAGTGCCCACCAAAGGCTTCCCAAGTAACGGAACTCATACCAAGATGGGTGTGAAACTTAATGGGGGACCCAAACCGGTGGACCTCAAAATTGGGGATTCATGTCCAACCACTTTTGAGGTCCCCTGTTGAAAGTCACAGCCATATTTTTCTACTCCCGATGGGGCGAAGCGCCGCCCGGTTGAGCTTGTTACAGGCGTTCTGGACTTTGGTCAGCGCAGCTTTCGAAGCTTCCCGAGGTTCACCAAAGCACTTCGTGCTTGCCACAAACTCAGAAGAACAAAAGAAGTCAGACACCCATCCAACTTCACGGACACAGAGAATCCAACTTAGAACCAACGAAGCCAACTCAGAAACCAGAGAGCCCTCAGAAACCAGGCTTTGGATCCGGCTTCGACTCAGGAGTCCCGGGATGACGCCGAACACTCTTTGCCAGGCGCGTTGCGCGGGGCCGTCCACCAACCCCCCCCCCCCCGCAAAGAAACACGCAACAAACAAACACACACACACACACACACACACACCAAACAACATAGTTTAGAGCCCACTCTTGTTGGGTCATGGGCTATGGCCCATTGTCCATGTTTTTCCGTCTCCTAATGGCGGCCCTCAAGTCGCTCATTGGCTTCTTTTCGTGGCTGTGAATGGGTGTATGAGTGTATGAGTGGGAAGGCTTGGACTAGTAGATCCTAACTCGTTGAACTGATCAACCCTCGAGTGGTTGATCCCATCAGTCTGACAGGTTGCGGGGCCGGGATGCCGGAAGGAAGCCCAAGGTTCCAGAAACCGACCCTCCCATAGGAAACCGAAAAGCGCACTCCTATCGTGAACCTGTGTCTAAAACTGGCTGTGGAGCCGACAGTCCAGCGGTCGTCCAAAAAGCACCTTCCGGCGGGGTCGGCCGGCGGGCCTTTGGCGGGGCACAATTCGCCCTGAGTCGTGAGACTCTCCGTAGTTGTACCCAAAGAAAGTGGCCGTAGTCCATAAGACGTGCCTTTGTTCTGTTCGGGATACCCTTTTTTTGGGGGTCGTTTTAAGGGAAAGCCAAAAGGTGAATCACATGTCTACGCATTTCTGAGGCGACGACGCCAGCGCCAGCGCCAGCTCTTTGCACTTCGGGGTCCGGGGCCCTGGGCTGAAGCAGAATACACCAGCTTCCAATTGCTTTTTTTGTTTTTGAATATAAAAATCCCCTGTTGGTTTTGAAGGAAATCTATCACTACTGAAAGTATGTCTTTTTTCTTCTTCTTTTTTTCCAGGGGTCTTAACCAAATGGAAGCCAGTTGGGATGGACGAAGCCCGATTTGAACATAAGGGATGAACCACCAGCCAAGGGGTGCGCAGCCGAATTTTGTCCATCCGCAGTATTTCTAAAGCTTTGTGGTTTTGTTCTGGATCTGATTAGTGGCATACCAAAAGTCTGGGGATTTTCTGAACCCAAGAAGTGCTGACTCGTTGAATGCGGGGCCGTGACCAATGTGAATGAACCAGACAATCACCAGTTAAAGTGAACATTTCAGGGGTTCATGGCTTGGGCGGGGGGGGGGGTTGCTTTGAACCACCATTTGGAGGGGGCATTGATTTGGTACAATGGGGAGGTGTGTTTCGCTTCAAGTTACTATTTTGGGTTGAGGGTTTAGGGAATTAAAGCAGGTTTGGTTTGATGGGGACCGGTGCAATGGGAAACTGGTTGACTGGAAATGAAGCTAGTGCCATCCATGCGGACTAAGCTAGTTTGATGACGCTTGGTTTCACCGAGATGACTCCTTTTGTTTGGACAATCATGATCTTTGCACAACCAGCAACATGTGCCAACGAGCGACATCCGGCATGCATGGGCGCAAGGCCAGCTTGTGATTGTGGCTCAGGTTAGGCCTAAACTTTCATCGGAGTGCGGGATGGTCTAAATCACAGTGCCTTTGCGCCTAGCGTCGGGCAGCGCACGCGCGAGTGGTCTTGACCAACTCAGCGCAGACTGCACAGGGTGTCTCTGCGGGCCTGGAGAAGCCTTCGCCGGCCAGACACGTCATGGGATTGTCCGCTGCACATGTCTCGCCTCTTGCCTCGGCTCGACTGAAATCTAAATCCCGCAATTGAGCACGTTGGTGGCAGAAGCCCGCCATGAAACTGGGTACCAGATATCGAGGCTTAAGCTCAAGCCGACTTCATTTGGCGAAGCGATAGACCAAATCGTCGGGTTGCGCCTTCCTTTCCCTTTGCCAGCCAGCACGAAGGTTCCCTCAAAGAGAAGCTGCAGGCGCTTCCTTTCATGAGCCCGTTTTAGGCCTGGACCATGGGGAGCTCTTGGGTCGAGGAGATCTTCGTTCCCGTGCTTCCCGTTCTGACCTTGGGGTGGGCTTGGCCCAGGTCATCAACCACTCAGATTTCTCCCCTGTTGGATCTGAGATTTCAATCCATCACCCCAATTCATCTACCTACCCAATCTAGCAACCGACGTTGGCTTCCCTCCCATCCGCCTTCCCACCCCAGCCACCCACCCAGCACCCACACCCACCACCCACACCCACCCTCACCCACCCACCCACACCCACCCACCCTCCCCGGGCATTTTGCTTCCCCCCACCCAATTCCCTGCGAGGCGCAGTCGCCGCTTTTCTCCGCAGTGGCACGGGATCCCGGCGGAGCTGGGGGGTGATCGGCCGGCAGCTCCACCCAAGTCGGCGTTCTTTCACGGGTCCCGTACGGTGGATGGTGGCGACCTCCAGAAAAAAATCCGCCGCCGGTTAGCAGCCCTGCAAATGATGCGATTCCCCCGGTAAAATACGGAACCATGGTTTCAACCGCGGTTGTTCAAAGCGGTTTTCACGGTTTCGCCCGTCAACACCTCCAAAACCCCAACCCGCAAATTCGCCGTCATTGGGAGTGCGGCTGGATGAACCCAACATGGACAGTTTCCTTTTCATTTGGGTATGGGTCAAAATAGACCCACCAGGATATGGACCGCAGGTTTTAGTCTTTGGTTCCATTTATCAGCGTTCCATTTTGGGCTACGCATTTTTGACCCACAGCCATTTGGAGTGGGGAGGGATACTAATCCCTTCTTCCTAATGCTAAACAGTCCCCTAATACTAAAACCGATTTTTGAAAACCCCAAATCCGGGAATACTACTTTTAGAATAGCCAAACTAAACCAATTCTAAAGTAGGTAGTTTCCCGCCCGTGCCCAAATCCAGCCCTATTAGGGAGCCTTTGTTACACCTTCAATCCTTCAAGCCACATTTAAGTGGGGGCTCTTTGCAAAGGGACGCCAAGGGTTCCACTTCAGGGTCTGCCTCCTATTCCCAGCCCTCCGCTGCCTGTCCTTTTCGCGGGTGGCTCGGGTAGCTGGCTGTCTTGTTGCCAGTTGGCCTGCCTGCCTACGGGCTGACTGACTGGCTGGGCAGGCTCTGTCCCAAGCACCCCCTAGAAACAACTACCAAAACATCCTTTAGTTCTGCCTGGCTGCGGAGAATCAAGCGCTCTGCGGAAAAAAATGAACACTCAGGTTTTTTCCAGAAAGAACCGGGGACCCCTAATGCTAAAACCGTCTTTTTTCGGGGGGACCCACTTAGCTTGGGGGGGGGGGGGCCGTTTAGGGGGAAGGGATTAGGTCCCCCAGCAGTGCCCTTTTACCCTTTTTTTGGGGAGGGTTCCCCTACTAAAATAGACTACAGAAGAAAGTTGGTACCTCTCAAAACTGGAGCGTTCCGTTTTGGGTACGCATTTTGACCCACAGCCATTTGGAGTGGGGAGGGATGAGAAATCAGCTGCACCCCGCCCCAAGCCGAAAAACGCGCCTGGCGTCAGGTTCGAGCGCGCTTGGCAGCCCACTTGATCGGCTGCCGTGCCCTCAGTCGCCAAAGAAAGCGGCGAGGAAAGAGCGAGACCTCCGTCGGGGCAGTTGTGTTTCTTCTTTCTGTTTTTCCTTCTGGGGATCCTTTTTTTGCAGGGGTATTCTGTTTCTTTGTTTTGGTTTATGTGTTTTTTTTTGTGATGGTTTGAGGAACCAATTTCCTTCTTGAGGGGTCCTTTGAGGTTTTTCCTTTGGTTTTGTAGGGTTGCGCTTGAAAGTCAGCCATCCTTTTCTCAACATGGCGACCTGTTTGGATCCCCACCCACCCCCGCTCTCCATGTCTTCCAAGAGGCCAACTTGGACGAACTCCGGAGTTGAGTGCTTTTGTAGGAGCCAGTTGGGCCACCGGCTTTTGGAAGGCACGAGACGCGCGCGTCCGCGCGAGTCGGCAAGCGTCGACTCCACAGGCTACGAGTCGGTGACCGGCGAGCTGAGCGGGGAAGAGATCCAGCTCTGGGAGCGGTGACCGGCTTCGTTGCTTTGGGCTTGGCGCTTCATGTTGAGTAGATTCCTTAGATTTAAATGTATGGTCATCCGGCTTTTCTGAGTTAAACATTTTGTACCCAGGGTTGGAGTTTTCTGGAGGGGTTAGGGTTTAGGGTGGGTTTAGATGTCCATGCCAAGAAGGGCGGCTTGTTGCTGCGTTCCTTGTGGTTGATGTGGGGGCAAATCTAGTTGGACTGTTTCTTGTTAGGCGCCCTCTAAAGATTCTAAGAACTCTGAAAGAAAGGGGGCAACATGGATAAATCTCGTTGGACGCTGCGGAGCTTAAGGTTGAGCATGCTTCGTTCGGTTGAACATATTGTTGGATGTGTGGAACATAGGGGACACGCGTACTGTATTTGTGAAATCAGGTTGAAGAATTCACCCCCACTTCATTGACAGGGGGAGTCACCCGTTTTAGAAGGGATTTGGATCGCTATTTGGGGCAGAGAAACAATCCACCAGGGACCAGGTTCATAAAATCCGGGGTTGGCAAAAAAACCCAACCCCTGGCGGATCAGGGCTCCCTGTGTTTCCCCCCCTTGTTTGTTTGGATGTTCACGTGGGTTCATCCGGGCCGTACTTATCAGGGGGTCCCGCCTTTAAGGCAATGAACAGTTTGTGGGGGTTTCTCTGACTGGTAGAGTCCTCAGGAGTCCCAAGATAGCATTAGACACCGATGTTTCCATAAGTGTCCTTTTCAGATGAGTTTTGTTAGAATTCCAGATGGGTTCCGCTGGTTTAGATGGGGTTTATAAGCCATGGGCCTTCCATTTTTCGCACAGGCCACATGGATGGCTCGTTTGTTTGTATCTATGTCGCTCGAGGTACGATTGGTGGCTTACAATTGGCACTGTTGATGGGACAAACACCTGCACCAGTGGTAGCTGGTTTATCCCAATCTTTGCGGACTTACATCCATCCTAGGTGGTGCGAATGGATATTGTCCACCAGTATTTTCGTGACTTTTCAGGACATTCTCTGAAAAGCAAACGGATCTTTGGAGAGACCTCTGTGACTGGTCATACGCTGATTCAGAGCCACAGCAAGAGGAGCCATTGCAGCCGAAGAGTCACTATCAGTGGCAATCAGTGACTGCTAGTGGCGAATAGCGACTAAATAGTGACTAATAGTGATGAATATAAATGACTAATAGTGTGCACTGCCCAAGGGTTTAGTGGCTGCCTCGCCTCCCCATTGTGGTGGGACATACAGCGACAATATTGCCACATGCAGTGGCACCCAGTCCGGTGCTTTGCCTACCGGTCCTTGTGGAATTTCGCTTTTGCTATGGGGATGGACCTGTGGCCGATTCCTCGAGCCGGCGGAGGTGGGCGAGCACCAGCGTTTGCCAACAACTTTTGGCTCAGTACGACGGCTGCGTGGGACTGATGAAGGGCGGCTTCTCAGCAATGGTGCCGACGCGCCGGACGACATGTCACCGGTGCCAATAGAAATGCCCGAGGGGAAGACCCTCAGGCGGACATCGTTTAGGTGGGGATTCATGTTTTGATGGGGTTCCAACTCTCAAACTTAGCCGTGGCAATCATTTTCCCTCGAAGGTGGAAACCATCTGAATGCTGACCCCTGATAATAACCCCCCCCCCACCACTTATTATCAAGGGGGGTCGCTTTTACTGGAGAATCCTTTCTTCCAGGGAGGCCCCTCTGACGTAGGGGGGTTGAAACCTTCCAAAGACCTGGTATTGGGCTTGTCGAACCAACTTTACTCGTTTAAGTGTCCTTTTGTTGGGTGAAATCTAGGTTTCCTTCGTTGGGTGAAATGTGGTCATGTGGACTTCCTGCGGGTCAAAGTTTTCGTCGAAAACTCGGGCCCGACCCCACGTGGCCAATTTTTCGCAGGACGTCTTCGTGCGCACCGACCACAAATTGGCCGGAGCGCTCACGGTGAGCCTGGAGACCGCAGGCACGCCTGAAACGCGCCGGGGGAGTTTCTACCATTCTCATTCCCTACTGAGCACCAAGTTTTGGCGCGGGGAAGACCCCGAGAGGCTTCTCCAAATTGCGGAGCCCTTGCAAACATGGCTGTTTGAGAACGGTGAATGAGGCGATGCCCATGTGGAGTTTGATCAAAAGGTGCTTTACATGGGGTGAACAAAAACGATGACTTTGACCACTAAATGGGAAAAGCTAGCCATGGTCATTTTGGGGCCAGGAATATTGTGGCTATTGCCACATGAGTGTTTCCCAAAATGGATTTTCGGACCCTTTTGGTTTTCCATTTAAAGGGAAGCCAAAAGGGGATGCCAGCCAGTTTGGGGACCACTACTTTGAGAACCCAAGCCTCCAACACCACATTTGGCCCTCATAGAGACCCTTTCATTCCCTTTCTTCCAATTGGGGAAGCTCTCAACCCTGGACCGGCCCCCTCCATCCAAGATTTACTCACCCTTGCGTGGAATTCTTGCGTTCTCTGAAACCGCCGTTACAGCAGAAGCCCAATCCATCACCCCAAGATTTCGTGCCAAAGATTGCAGTGTGGCTATCCCTGTAGCACCGCTAGAATGAGGTGCCGTCAGAACGGAAGGCGCTGCAGCCTCTTCCTTCAGACATGCAAACAAAATTGAGCGTTCCTTTGCTCCCCTCTGATTGATTACGCCCTCCACACTATTCCGACCGGAAGCCCTTCCGGAACAGCTGGGAGCTCCGAAACACTCCAGAGTCTGGCTCAGAGACCCCAAAGATTTCATGTCGGGAGCCACTGGTAACGTACTCATGACGTAATTTGGTTCAAGCAAGTACCAGGCAATCTCATTCGGATACTTCTGGCCCTTACAGCGTCTTTTGAGCATAGCATGCTTCAACATTCCCATGATATGTCCTCTCACGTGGGAGCATGTTGGAGAATTTGGAAAGATTCTGAGAAGAAACCCGTTGCCATTTTGAGAGGTCTCCTAGTCTTCTATGAAGCATGCCGCAGTCAGATGGGCATGTCACTATTAGTCAGTATTGGGTGCTAGCCCGTTTTGATATCACGGACGAGGATGCGGGCTGTACAAGATCAATTCAAAAGTCGCCTTTGCAAGCTGACTCCTTTGTAAAAGCCACCTTTCGAGGATTCCTTTGTAAAGGTGGTTTTTGGACGTATTGTTTTTTTGGACGTACTTTTTAAGGAATGCATTCGACTCCCCTTTACACCGGACCTTGGCGTCACAAACGCGAGCCCTTGGCGCGTCCGTCACGCGCGCACAGACGACATCTGCGACTCGCTGGCGGCCATCTCCACGCGCGCGCATGGCGAGGCGCGCCGAGTGGCGACCGCAGAGGAAACGGAGGTTTCGGCTAGGTCCACGTTCGCTGCCGATTTATGGCGAGCTGAACTGGGGGTAAAACGAGCTGGTAAAGAGCCTTTACTTGGGATTTCTAAATGGTACAGTTTGCGGATTATTGCAAGCAACAGCAAGGGAAACCCTCTCATTCCGCAATTTTCCCTGGTTTGGTGGTTTATATTTTTGGATCACTTTGCAATATATCGGGCGCCGACCTCGCCTTTTGGACCTTGCCTTTTGCCAAGCCCCTTAGAAAGGGCGTCTGCAGATCCACTGTTTTGTATTTTGGGGTGTACTAGATGTGAAACAGAATCTGAAGATATTGTTTTCTGTGCACCCCAAATGTGGGCCAAACTTTGACAAGGTTGCTCTCCATGCTCGAAAGGACGCTGGTGATTTGTTTGCATAAATCGAATGTGGATGTCAACAACTGGGCATGGAGAAATGGTTGGGTTTCATGGAAGATGACGAGACTCTTGGAACTCTTTCAATAGATTTGGGAGTGTCCAAAAAGTAAGAAAGGCCCCTTTGCCGATGGTTGATCCCTCCTTTTTTTGGGTCAACTGATGGTAACACATACTTTGCTTTTCAGTCAGTCCGGGAGCCGACAGGACGTCGTTTTGCCCCCCTCCTCTGGGTCAATGTTTCCACTGGACTCATGTACTGCAGAGTGTTTCTCCTTAGCTCTTCAGGATTTTTGGGATATTAGTTGAGTGTTCTGGGTTCATGATTGGTTCCATATTACATCTTGCATCATATCACGATGATGGTGGACACGATTTAAGTCCTGCTTGGGTGGTCCGGGACTCAGCCATGTGCTTAGTAGCCAACGTTTTAGCCCACTTACCATGGTTGTAAGCCCTCCAAGTGGGTTAGAGCCAGGGATAGTAGCCATTTGGCCAAGTAGGGGCCGAACAGATCTTAGCCTCAAGTTTCTTGGGCAGGCCTGGGGGCGTTGCCGCTGGGATGTTCATCCCACTCAAGGTGACCATGGATCTCAGATTGTCGACCTCTGGCGAAACCAGCTCACAAAGGGGCCCCGTCACTCAAAAGATCCAAGTGAATTCCATTTTGCGCAGAACACGTTGCCAAGGTGGCAGATCCACCAACCTTTTTCCCTTTCATAGCCTCACCAGACGAATCCACCTATTGACCTTGCTTTCTGCCCATCTTGAGACATGGCCCTAAAAGGTGAACTGTGTATTTCTGGGTCCTTTGGGGCAACAGAGTCGCAGTGATTTCAACCTACTTTCGTGGGTGCATCCAAGTGGGCCCTGGGTTTGCCGGCACGATTTCATTTCTTGAACCTGCTCCGGTTGAGGGGGTTGTCCTTGGCTGGGACCGCTGTGCCTCTTACGTGACTTTATAGTTTAAAGTTCATTCGAGAACCATGTTTGGTTGGCAAAAGCTGAGGTTATGTTTCTCTGTGGCAAAAAGGGACCCTGCTACTAGTGTAGCAACCCCTCTGGGAAGGGGTGTATTCATGTTTCTCAATGGGGGTCAAGTGTGCGGATCCAGCTGTTGACCCTTCGGACTTTCGCATGAACGTTGGTAGAGTCTGATGTCTTGTGTGATTCAAACAGTACAACTATCTAGCAGCGAAAGGACAATTCTACAAAACATCCGAACGCATTCGATTCGCTAAATAGCCCTCCCCCCCCTATGGGGTCTGACCCCAAAGTTTGGGTCTCGC